GTCACGGCCCACAGATTGAGAACCGCTGCTTTCCAGGGTGGCCATGAGTCAGAATTGACACCGTGACAGTGGATTTGCTGCCTACCTTACAATAATCCCCCTCCCCCTTCAGCAGGTCTCTGACTCCAGGTCCTTTTCCCTGGGTACCAAACTATTCTAGAGCATTTTCATTCAAATATTCTACTCCACTGTCCCACTACCTACACAACTACGGCACCAAAGTGTCCCTATTCTTAAAAAAGAAAATGCAATCTCCTTATCTATGTGATTGATTAGTTCCTGCCCTCTTGTCACTAATGGGCAGAAGGGCACAAGCAGCAGGCATCGGCTTTGGGAGTCTGCCTCATCTGTTCCCCGAGCAGGTAAGCAGACATCTATATCCTTGTACCCCAATTACCCCAGCCCCCAACTTCCGTCTCCTCAGATGGCCTTTCCCTTAATTCCTGTTTGCCATCTGAGAGAGGCTTCTCATCCCAAACTCATTTGCCGACCAGAGCTAATTGCCACAGACCCCGAACCCAGTGAAAGCTCACCATGGGCCCGGCCTTGGGCTCCCCTTTCCCCCCTTCCCCAGGTACTTTCTAGGCCCCTCCTGTGGGAGTGATCTCGTGGAATCCTCATCAGGTCAGTTTACAATAGCAAAACACCTCAGCCACATAGTAACAATAAGACACATACAATAAGAGGAGGGTTGATCACTCACACACGTTCTTACGGGAAAACCAGCCGCTCTCTCTCTCTGGTAAGAAAAATATGAGTCTCCACCCCACCAAAAAAAAAAAAAAGGAAAAATCCCAGGATGCTCCAGAATGCAGTCTCTTTCCTTCATGACGTGTTGTAAGCACATCAGCTGTTCTTGTTGCTGTGCAGATCACCCAGCATCGGGTCACCGGGAGACGGCAGCGCTTGCTGGCACAGCTGATAGGATTAGGAGATGGTGCTTTGTCAGCCTGATTGAGAAAGCCCCCGCATACGCAGATACGCAGGTGAGAATCCAGCAAGAGTGGCTGTGGGGCTGCGGGGGACCGGGATGGGTCTCAGCTGTATGCTCCAGGCAGTGCAATTGTATTGTCTTTTCTGTGAAGTTAGCAGTCTGGGAATTGGGGCGGTGGAGGGGGGGTGGGGAGCGCAGGGTTCCTATCAATAAAAACCTGCTCTTTTTAATCACTTGTCTGGTGTCAGGGTTTGGTCGCATACACCTCACAGGATTCTTGTGAGGCTCCAAATGAGCATCTTTATCTATGGCAGTGCTCTGGCAATAGAAAGTTCAGTGCCACTGGGAGGTATGAATCATTGACAACACATTTCACATAAACAAAAAACCAAATATCCTTATCCCAGATTTGGGACATAAATATATAATCACATCCCTTTTCTACCAACCAACAACACCTATCTCCTCTCTCCTTCCCATGCCTGGACAGGTGCATCATTGATCATTTTAGGAGCCCTATACTTTAAAAGCAGCTGCCGTGTCCTAAAAACCAGCAATACATTCGTTTTAAAGGAAACCCCATGAAATTACAATGTAAGACAATAAAACAGGCATTTAAGTAGGAAATGAAAATGATGCATGAAACTATTTTAAGGCAGGTGAGAGATGGATATAGTACACCATATTTGATGATATCTCTTTGATGGTTGAGTCCTAACCTTATCAGACAAGTCTCCGAATGAGATGAGAAACACTAGAATGGAATTAAAAGCTGCATAGATATTGTCATGTGTGAAACTTGCCTCTTAGAACAGCAGAAACACAGGCTTGGGTTCCAAAAGTACAGAGCTAAGAGACGCCTGAACATTAAATCATCAGCCTTTCCTCAGCAGAGTTGCTATGGTGACAAAAGGGCTCCGGCATAGCCTCTCAAATCCTGCACTTCTGCAGTAAAAGCCTTCAGTGCACACATGTTGGATTTTTTTAGGCACACACCCATAGTCAAATACAAAGACACATGGGGCAGAGGGTAGGGGGCAGTTCTGTCTGAACCTGTGTTCCTCATCTTGTACTGATGAGCCCCTCATGGAGTTACAGAATCCATTCATGCATTCATTCATGGCACAACTAGATATATTGTGTGCCTACTGTGTGACAAGGACTGTATAAACAAGTACATGTGGAATTCTAATAGGGGATCATACGAACTCTCCTAGGGCACATAAATACAGATGGCTTGCAAGTATCTAAGAAAAGATCCTGACCCTTTTTGGGAGATCGGGGCAGGTTTCCTGAAAGAAGCTGTTTCTAAAAGAAGCTTAGTGTATCTTCAAGAGTTAAGAAGGATTGATGAATGGGGTGTAGAAGGTGCCCAGCAAGTACAACAGCCTAGAGGAGAAAGATAGCAAGAAATCTCCAGAGACCCGAAAGTCCTCCCATCTGAGGGGTGGGTACTCATCCATAACAGAGTAGCAAGGGTGGGCTACCAGGAGGGGAGGGAGTCATTTATATGAGATTGGAAAGACATGAGATTGGAGAGGTAAGTGAGCAAGGCCAGATCGTGGGCAGCATTGAAGAGCTTGAATACTACCTTGAGGTCAGCGGAAGTTATTAATGAGTTATAAAAGGGGAAACGGAGTCTGATTTGGGCCTTTGGAGAATTTTGACCTGGGGTGGGGGGTGGGAGAAAAACCTGATTAGAGAGAAGGCAATAGAGGCAAAGCTGTAAACAAGATAATTCTAGTTAGTTTTGCAATAATCCATGATGGTGGTCTAGACTCTAAATACAGATAATGGCAGTGGAGAAAAATCATCGAATTCAAGACATTTATTAATGGGGGGAAAACGGAAACAACTTGGTAATTGGTACTATATGGGGAATGAGGGGAAGGGAGATGATAGGAATGACTCTTGAGGATTTGGAGGGTGGAGGTGGGATGAGGCACCCAGACCTCATTCTCATTGGAGAACTCCTCAAAAGCATCTTTTGACCTTACAGTTCATTTCTTACAGCATATGTTTCAGGATCGTAACACGGAGACAACTCTCGAATGAATCACGTCCTTCAAACAACGAACCCTAATACCACCCAAGCTTCACTGCTTCAGAGATCGAAGTAAAGAAAAATATGATTTATGGAGTAAAATCTATTTGGGGATACAGGGAAATGGTGCGTTGATTCCACTAATACTGGTTTGAGGCTGCCTCCATCCCTACCCAGTGTGCCCCAAGGCGTGAGAGGCCAGGCCTGAGAGAAACGCTGTTTGGAGCAAGGGCTGGAGCTGAGAGTAAAAGTCCAAACACACTGGTCAAAAGGTCACAGTCCTTCCAGGCGGGACCTACAAGTGAACACATCAGACTGATCACCTCCACAGTGCTATTTAGAATATTCTTTCTGAATGTAGGCTTTTAAAGATAGTATGCATGTTCAATCCCTTCATCAGGTAAATATTTAAACATTGTACGTATAATCAAAGTCCATAACTCAGCTGATGATCCTGGACAGATTTTTTGAGCTTTTTACAACAAACCTGTCTACATCATAATTTATTTTTTTCTTTCTTTTTTACCTGTCCTATAAAAGCCATCAGTAAATATTGAGTGGGTGACCTGGGCAAACTGCTTTCTGGAAACTACTCATCAAACAGCTGGATAGCGCTGTTTTGTTGCTGTAATTCTTAGAGCTACCCTTTGTGGTAAACCAAAGCCCAAATCCAGACCCACTGTCACGGAGTCAAGGTGGACGCGCAGCTGCCCTGCATAGGTTTATGGAGGCTTGGCCAATCTCATTTCTAGGATTCACTCCGTTTAACCGAGGACACGGTTTGAGTTCAGAGCGGCCTGGGAACTTGAGATGTAAAGACCCTCAGCTCTCCAAGGGAGGAAATGCTGCTCTGAGTCCCGCGCGCAGAGTTCTTCCCGCAGCCGCGCAGAGTTCTTCCCGCAGCCGTGGGCCAGGGCGCGGTGCCGGCGCCCGGCTGCCCGTCTTCCTCCCAGCGGCAGGGTTTCCCAAAGCGGAGGCGCCGGCCTTGGCCGCGCTTTTCCTGCGGGGTCGCCAACCTGGGACCCTTCGGATGCAAATCCGAGAAGACTTGCAGCCTTGGAGACCAAAATGCAGTGTCAGTCCTGCAGCCTGTCTGGGAGAAGGGGTGAGGGTGGGGTGGGGGCGCCTCTCTGGGGTGGGGGTGGTCATTGCTGAGGGCTGTGCTTGGAGCCCTGGTGGCGCCTCGGTTAAAGCACCCACCGCTCCGAGTGAGCGCGAGAGATTCGTGGCTGACGGAGTCAGTTCCGCGCCGTCCTATGGGGTCGCGGAGTGGGCATCCATTCGTGAGACCCGGTTTCTGGTTGGGGAGGCGGACCTCGTGCCCATCTAGCAGGGAGGGGCCGCGAGGGAGAAACTTTCCCTTTCTCCATTTTGGCTCTCCGCGATGTCGCAGCCCTGCTGCGCTCGTCCTCCCGCCGCGGGCCAGGTGCACAAGCCGTGGGGAGGGGACACGTCGGGGCTGGCGCGG